TCAAGTGCGCTCATCTACAACAATGGGACGCTAACCATAAGTGGCCTAAACTGTCACTGTCAGCAATGCACATGCGTCACTCAATGTGAGGATTTCTCTCCAGATCGATGCTCCGCATGGGCTCCGACAAAGGTTGAAAAGTGGGAGGGCCAAGGGAAAATTTAACACCCATAACAAAAGATTTTGAAAAAAACTCTATTGTTTTTGCAAAAAAGTGGGGGGGGCAAGGCCCCCCGGCCCCCCTTCGTCGGAGGCCCTGCTCCGATGCTAATTTCATGCATACTATCTTTCAAAATTTGCAATTTTTAACAAAATTCTTTTTATCAATTATTAAAAAAATTTTTTAACAAAAATGTTGGATATATTGGCTGTAAAAAGTTGTTTTTTACCAAATTCGTGGCCAAACTTCGGCCAACTTTTGCTTCTTTGGCCAAATCGATATCTGACAGGCAATGGATTTGGAAAACGGCCAGTGAGTAGGAAACTGGACATCAAAATGGCCAAATGGCAACCCTGTTAGGTATAAGCAATGTGAAACGACGGGGAACAATCCAATATAAAAGAATCTGATCATAAAAACCTAAAAAATAAAGTTGAAACCAATGCCATTTATATTTTACACCAACACCATTAGAGCCAAAGTAATGTTGTGTTACATCATTATGCAATGACACCATATTACTTTCCTATATAATAAGTGAGGTCTCAAACAGGCAAAGACCAACAACTGTGGGGTTGTAGCTATTTTGCTCAAAGGGGCCAGGGTGTAATCCATGTAAAACTTGTATTGGATTGCACCAATAAACAATAGAAATACAATGGGAAACTGTTAGCCAAGCACCATATCCCAAGCATTAGCTACTTGGTTTAACATTGGAAAGGAGCTTTCCAAGGTCCCATTTGCTAACTAAGTGCCATCCTTTATATGGAGATAAGTTTTTAGGCAAAGGACTGCTAGGTGACAAAAGCTTGTTTTTTTAAACAAAAATGTTTCAGCGGGGTGTCACACCTCCCCCCATAACAATACCCATGTCCGCATAAAGGTATTTATTTAAGTAGCTTGCCCATGCAAACATTAATTTCAAACCAGCTTGCAGAGTATGACCATTTTTGACAAGGTCTTGTACCAACAGCATTGCACCACAGGTACCTGTGCGCAGGAATTGTTCAAAAATTTCAAGTTAACTAGAACTATCAATTTTTCCAGATATAGATTGAATAAAACTAGTTGTCAGGCTCACCCTTAAAAATACCATGTCTGCATCTTGGGTGCACCATCAACCTGGCAAAAACAAGGCTGGTTTGGCTTGCTAAAAATACAACTTTTAAATGATTTAAAATATTTTGAAACTTTTTCAGCGAGGTAGCCATGTTTTGTAAACAAATATTTTCTTTCAGAAATTGATTGTCTGAGAAGAAAATTAATGTGAATATTTATATCTGTTGCTGTTGAAAACCTTAATACTTGTATATGGCTTTTATAATTTAGGTCATATAGAAAAGTGTCAATTTTTTACATCGGAAAGTTCCAATCGTGTTCTGAAATGACCTGTTATTAAATTGAGTTGGAAAGGCAACGCATCATTCTGTTAGAATATTCATCAGAGACATTATCTAAAATTGGTATTGTTTTGCCTTATAGAGGTAATCATGACCATGTGACTGGCTTTTTAATTCATGCATCATGGCATCAGTTTTAACTACATATACCTCTGCCAATGTTGTAAGGCTATACCGACAGCTGTTATGTTGTTCCCGAAAACTGAAATACACTAGCAAAGACTTTTACAAAGAGCAGATAAAGAAAGAATTCCGGAAGCATCAACACGAGACAAACTTTGACATGTGTGAGCATCAATTCAGGGTAAAATTTTCCCATCTCTTTTTTTCGGAATTTGGTATGAAATTTCTTGAGTTTGTTTCAATTTATACTGGTTTAAATTTTTTTAAAATCTTTGATGACCATAAATGACAAACACTACACCTTTTGACCAGAGGATTCATTTGGAAATCAAGTTCTACATTTCTTAATACATTATGTGTTTCATGTGATTGTTTTTTGTTTGTCAATTAAATTGCAATAAAGCAATCTATGATTCTCTTTATAGGGTCGTGCTTTCTCTCCCAGTTATTTGTATTCATTCATGCATAGCTTTATGACTCGGGGCTTTTACTGTTTAATTTCCTAATTTTCCTTTCAGAAAGGGATACATTTCTTGGAGACAAATATGGGTGGCATAACTTAGACATGCTGCAGCTGCTGTGGATTTTTCTTACAGAAAAATTTCAAAGTGATATGGCGGAAGTCAGTCAAGAAATCTCTAGAGTTAGTTGCCCTTTGGCAGATGATTTTCAACTAACAAATTCTGAGTTTCCTTGCAATTTTCCCGGATTCCTTGAAATGTGGAACTACAAAGTATTTTTTAGGATTGTATTTCAGATGTGGAGTTTTTTATTGAACTGTGTGTTTATTGAATTTGCTTAATTGTAGTCTCTAAACTAGGCTATGTGTTTTTTGTATTTTCTCAGGTATAAAAAATAGCTTGGTCATGGGAATTGAAAAGTCTTCTCATTGAAACGCCTTCTAAAATTTGGCTAGTGATAATACTGGTTTCCAATTTGACATCTTTTTCAAAACAAAAAGTAACTACAGCATTAGGATGAGCCTTTAGTTTGCTCTGATGTGTTTTTCAAGCCTGTTGTTTTAAAACGAATTGCAAATAGGCAAGTGTAACTCTGTTTTTGCTTTCACTCAGACAGTAGAAATGTAGCAATATATTAATATTTGAGAAGTTATGAAAATAAAGTATCCTTCATAGATAGGTTCTGCTTCCGTTGTGCAAGCTTATGCATTTGATAATTTCCATTTACTAATATATATTTCATACATAACATAGTTCATTCCGTTCACTGGACGGACAGCAGCAATGAAGAATTGTGGAAAAGGGTTAAAGCCATGAAGATCTTGAATATACTGCACTCGCGTAGAAAATTTCTGACCAATTCAAATAATTTCAAAGATAGGGGGTGCAACATCCCCAAAATTCCTTGGTATTCACGTGTATGTATATATAAGTTAATGTGTTTGAAGTAAAGCAACAATAGCAAAGGCTCTTTCCTCATCAAATCTCTATAGTTTGGACTTTGCTCTAAACTTAACTTTTTGTACAATGCCAAACCAACAATAATCCATTTGCAAATTTCAGCTCTTTTACCGAAGCTGCAGCATATTTATCCGGTTTTGTATCTTCAGAGATATTGCTCAATGTTCTTGCAGGTTATCTGACCAAAATCAGAGGATTCTAAAATTTTGTTACTGCGATCATTTGTTAAAGTTATTTTGAAGATTTGGTTTTCTCTTATATTGGAATGTAGCAGGCTCGATTTCGAGCGAAACACTGCGTGTAGTTTCAAAGAACGATACAAAATACCGTGCAAGCAATGGCACAAGGGGGCTGCGCCCCCTGCTCTTATTTCTGGATAATTCTAAAATATCATGGCTAATTGCTGCCAGGATCAAATCTTTGATTGAACCGATATTAATTTTTTCATGAAATGCTGGTAAAATTCTATTCAAGTAACAGGTAGACATTGGAAGATGATTTAACCCTAGAAAAAATGAAAAAGGAGAGAAAATGATATTGAGGGACCATGCAAACGAAAACAACTGAAACGTTCATTTTGCATACAATATAGAGAAATCTCTATGCTCCCACCTCTACATTTTTTGGCTCTAAACTACTGCCAATACAGTAGACTCCAGTTATAGACACATAAATGTTGCATGAAAATTTTAAACGGAATGTGACTGTCAAGTGGCAAATCACTTTACGGATATCTCGGGCACCATTGGTAGAAATCCTTTTGTTTTATCGGTGAATCTCTACAAATCCTTTTGTTTTGGTTGAAGTCTCGTACACTATTTACAAGAGTGAATCGCTCCTAAGTGACTTTAAGCGGAGTTAAAATCAATAGTTTTCCATATTTGTGTCGAAATTTTATGTGACTGTAACGGGTAGTATGGCTTTAAGCGGAGTCGACTGTGTTATCTAAATTCATAAGCAAACGAAGGACCCGTAAAGGCTTACAGAGCAGGAATGTAGTATGGTTTCTACGCGGGGAGGGGGGCCATGACCCTCAAGAGTTTTACTTGGTCCCTTGCTATTACTAGTTTGCTATTATCATTTAAAGTTACTATTACTAACTTTATACTTGTTTCCATAGCTGCTCAATTTTTTTTGCAAATGTTGGCTTAGCTCAGTTATATTTTGCTCAATACGAATTTTATTGCATTGATTCAACAAACCATTTGAATTTGCATTCGAGGCCAACATTAATGATGAAATTTTATTTCCTTCCTGAACAAAGTACATTCAAGTCGAAATGTCCACATTTTAGTTTTAAACTGTAGTCTTTGCTAAATACATTCAAACCTTTGATTATTACCATAAACCCTCGAATTAGCCCCCCAGGGGCTTATTTATTTTTACTATTTTTGGATGGGGGCTGCTAAAGGGGGGGGCTAATACGAGGGGGTGGGGTTATAGAATTATAGTAGACATTAAGAAGACATTATTAAATGTCCTCGTATATTTTGATAGGAATTTCTTTAGGAGCGTTTAATTAATTGTTACCGAAATTGTATGAATTTTTGTAGTAATTCAAAAAAACACCAAAGGCACCCTCAGACGGCAAAAATCAACACATCGAGTGGGCCAATTCGAGGATTTATTAGGATTTATGGTAGCAGTAACAGCTTATACGAGGGGGGAGGGCTTATTGACAATTTACAATTCTAGGGTGAAGCGATTCGGGGGGGGGGCAATTCGAGGATTTACATAATCAATTTGCCTGGTTACCGATTTGCTTTGTTTTTAATGATGATATTTTTGAAGGGGCGTGGTCACACGGCTCTTTATCAAATTTTGAGGAATAGGTTACAAACGTTATAGGGATGTTTACTAGATTAGTGAGTGGCTAGTAGTAGTAAATTTGGAGAGTACTGGTAGCACAATCAGCTGACGCCTTCCAATGTTTTTCCTCTCCTTTCTTGATACATGTAAGCGAGGCAGCTCCTGGTTCCAGTTGTTGCAGGTCATCTTCAAAATGGCGGGGAAAGGCAAGGGTGGAAAACTAATGGCAGTTATTGGAGATCAGGTGACAGAATTTGTGTAAAGATCATGGCAGTCATTTTAATTCTTTTTGTTAAACTTTCTGCTGCATTTATCCAAGAAACTCATGTCATTTAACTACTTATTAAATCGTTTTTAAGAAGAAAAATTCTTAAGAGTTTAAAGTCTGAAACTAAACTCACTGACCAGTTTTCCCGTTCTATGTTTATTTTATGCATTAGATGTGTAATTTTTTAACATTTCTTTAATAGGATACCTGCACTGGATTCCTGTTGGGGGGAATCGGAGAAGTGAATTCTAAAAGGCAAAAGAACTTTTTTGTTGTGTCTAAAGGTAATGATATTTTATTTTGAAAACAATCCTTGCATATTTTACCTAGCCATATTGGTAATGTTTCCCCCAGTATAGGGCATCCCAGTTTACACTCGAGCCCCAGTATAGGGATTGTCAATCAAAATAAAATTCTAAAGTGCCGCCAAAAGCTTTTTTGGTGTGTTAGAGATTAGTTATTTCAAGACATGTTCTCTGCCAGTAGAAATTCAGCAATACATTTTCAGCAAGCGACCATATTTTAAAGCCTGTGTATATGAAGGACATTCACATACAATCACTACCAAAAGTCCTGGAACACTAACATCAGTTCCCAAAGGCAAATTCAGCCACCCCCTCTTCCCCTAAGAACAATGTTGATTTACTATAGAAAAAAGGGGTTATATGGAGTACGCTTTTTCTTATGGCTTATGTGATATTTTTCTATACTATACGGGGGAAGGGGGGGCAGAAGAAGTAGTATTCAGGAAAACAGGGGAAAAAGAGAAGACACAGTGGAAATGTTCGGTTTTCCAAGTAATTTTGGCAGTGCTTGTAGCTCACCGGTAGCAATAACGAAACAAAGCCAGCTTTATTCCTTCAACTTACATCAAAACAAAATGATTCAATAAGTTCCATCAAACTCCATTTAAATCAAACTTGTCTCAACCATTGTAATGAAATCGAACACATGCGAGCTGAAATGTTCTGAAGAAGGAGACATAAAAAATGGAATGCTGGAAACATGCTCTTCAAGAGGGGTTAAATCCTTTTAAAGGTGAACTGCTTGACCTCAAATGCAAGCATATCAAACATAAACAACTGAGACATTATCAGTTTTTTAATATTCAACACAACTTTCAAATGCAAGCATATCAAACATAAACAACTGAGACATTATCAGTTTTTTAATATTCAACACAGTTTTTGAGTTGTTGAGAGTCAAAGTTAGCCGCCGAACATTTTCCGAGCACAAACAAGTTTACCTGAGCCTTCTACAAAATCATGACGTCACAAACAGTGAAACACCATGTTCAAATCACTTGAGCAGCACGGCAGTCTGGAAGGCCTTACTTTTATGATTTTGCGGGAGAGCATTGATACATTAATTGAGTAGGTTTTGGCTCCATTTTGACAACCTGATTGGAAAATAGATTATGACTCCTTTGCAAACCTTTCACAATAAGATTTTCAAGAATATTGTAGTATTCAACGCGTCTGAGGCCCTTCCTCTGTCTTGCAGGACCCAGTGTGTGGCCAGCCAACATATCAAATATAGGTACAATAAATAAAATGGCAGGATTTTTGATTTTCTCAAAACCAGAGTAAAATACTTTTTTTCTCTCTAAAATACGGCTGCTGTTATACAGATTTATCGGGGCTGCCCCCCCCATCAAACAAAAAGTTGTATCTTGGTCTTTGATCCTGATTAACTTTAATATATGTGATAAAGATTTTGAATTTAAGTCACTCTTTTTCAGCATATTCTTTATTCAATCACATAAAAGATTTTTAGGGGTTAAGAACCTGGTTCGATCGAGTCATTATTTGCAAGAAAACAACTTCGTATAAATTTTAACTCCCAGGCCACTGCACCCCTGTAACTCGGATGAGCCAATGAGTTTGCAAACCCAAAACAACATTTATGATTTCTTTTGATGTAGAAATAACATATCAAAGTAATAATATTTTGGATAGATTTTCATGAACAAAATGATAAAATTCAAACATTCGTCCGCATGATTAACTTCAGAATTGAGAATTTCTTTGAGCAGCGAAAAATGCCTATTCCTTCCAAACTTGAATTCCCTCCTATCATAATGCAGTACCAGCCAGCACATATCCTTCGTACATTTCATTAGTCTCAAATTTTCATATATCTTGGATGAAAGGCTACATGGATCTCCTTGAATAGTAACTGAGCAAGATGAACTGAACTGTCGTGATTTGCATTCAAGGAATAAAAACATGGTGTTTGTGACGTCGCACGCACTGGGTCACATGAAATGCCGACAATGGTCGAGCACTCGACGATAATTTCATGACATTTAAAGTAGAATTGTGTCAAAACGGACAATCATAATTAACCGAAAACTTGAAATTAAGATTCCAAGCATCGTTTTTTGCATTATATCAAAAAATAGTTTTGTGTGTCAGTTCACCTTTAAAGTGCCACCAAGATAATACATGCAAAATAAATTAAGTTTCTTTAAAGAAAATTAGCAAGAAGTTAAAAAAAGCAAATGAGAAGAGATGTCGATGTGCCACTGCACAAGTTTACCAGGACTGCATTTACCATTTCTAGAATATAGTTAACTGAAGCTGGGAATGAACATTGTTTCTGACAGCTTGAAGCTCCAGGTGAATATCATCAGGGGTAGGTGATGATCTCTAACATCACAAGTAACATGTTGTCAGTGCCAAAGACTGAGATGCAACTTTTTGTTTATAGGGGTGGGTAGCCCTGATAAATCAATGTAACAACAGCAATATTTTATAAACTCAAAATATTTTACTTGTGTTTCTTAAGTAAACCCCAGCCCCCTTGTATTTTAGTGCTTGGTCAGTGCATATTGACAAGGGGTTCAATGCAGCCAAATTTTGAACAACAAACTTGGGCATTGTTTTATTCATTGTAAAAGACAATTATGTTCAGACCTCCCAAAAATTGTTTGTGCCTACGAGCACAAACTGTTTTGCAAAAGGTGCCTGCAAGATTTTTTTCATATGTAATGGGTAGGATATAAAATTGTTTAAGATAAGAGACATTAAGTAAGGTTTAATTACGCAAAGACAGAATGTTTTCAAAGAACTGCTTTAACAGAAAATTACTTTAGAATGAGGATGGTTTTCTCAACAGAAATAGCATTATAGAGTTTAAATTAACTTAGCTTATGACAAAAAGGGAAAATTTGCAGCGATTGTGTCCTTAATTTTTCCAAGCAACAAACGAAATGGCAGTTAGTTTTATTGCTTGATATTGTTTCATACTATAATTAAGGATACTTTCATCTTTTTTAATATTTTAACCATTAACAGCAATCACCATTTCCATCTCTTGCATGCTCCACCTAGATTGGTAGTTTGTCCTGAATTTTTTACACCAAAGCCTTCCCGGTTTTTGACACTTTATCAAGCCCTGATTGTATTTAAAATGGATCTTACTTTTGTTCGTGAGGTAGAGAGTAAGTAGTTTTAAAGCACAGAGCTATTTTTCCAGAGCTAGTTAGAAATTAAATGAAAAATTGTTCGTCATGCCATAAAACAAAATTGACTTCAGACTTGGATTAAGGACCAGAAATTGTGTACATGGAAGTTTTAGGTACTAGTGCTCATGTTTTAATTTGATAGGGATTGGACCATGAGTGTTAACTGAAAATGAAAAGTTTCATTCTTAATAAGTATCTGTTTTGCAGTTGAATCCATACACCTTAGATTGTTCAATACAAGTGTAAAATTTTCAATACAAGCAAAAACAAAATAAAAAATTGTATTCTGACAGAATTATGGTGGTAAATTTGCAGATCTCCACCTTGAAAATAACCTGTAACAAGCATGTATCAATTTCAGTGCAAATCGGTCCATGGGAATCTATGTAATGCACATTATTTATATGTTTCCACATTAGCTTCATCACATTTTCAATTCTCTTTTTCCACACTTGTTGAAAATTTAATTTTTTTATTTTAGAAACTACCATTCATGAAATTGAGGAAACATTTAATGCATTCACAAGCAGGTCTGATATTGCCATTATTCTCATTACACAAAAGGTAAGGCGATAAAGAAAAGGTTTTATGTGATTAGTTGCATGGTTTCATATGATGGAAGTCTTTTTATGCAAAATCTGTATTCCGAGGAGAGACCGACCAGAAGTACTTAAATAAGAAAATTTAAAGTCCTCTTGATTTTTGTTGTTTGGAAACCGATTGTATATAATTTTATTTTGCAAGATCTTGAATGCACTAGTTATAGTTTTTCAAGCCCTAAGTTACAATGTATAACATCTTGTTCGGTCATCAGTAGTAATTAAATGTTACATGTATGAATAACATCCATGCATTCAATTAGGAGTGTGGCTCTCGGAACAAACCTTTTTTCTTTTTAGTCATTTTCTATGTAATTGTTGTGAAAGCAAATTTTAGTTTTTGAAAATTCAAAAAAATAATTACAACGTAAAAAACCTTACCCTCTCTATCACCCTGAATTGTTCACCTCTATCATCTGAGAGCAATTCAAATAGCTTAACATCCTCTCTATCGCCCCAAATATTTCACCTCTATCATCTGAGAGCAATTTAAATAGCTTAACATTGAATTGGGAAGGGGTTTGAAAAATATTTTATCTTCTTTGAAAAAGTGTAATGTTGCTTTTTGGAGAATCTCAAGTTTTCTGTCTGGATTGTAGACATCCATAGTTAACATGCACTTGCTGATATGAGGATATTATGTAACATTTATGACAGATCTTCCTGGCAGAATGATTTGCTATAGGTCACTTGGTAATGAATTTCCCTTATTAAAGATGACTGTGCTTAACACTCTTTAGATTGCTGAAGAAATCCGACATGTCTTAGATGCTCATGATAAAGCTATCCCTGCTATTCTTGAGATTCCGTCTAAAGATTATCCATATGACTCATCAAAGGATTCCATTTTGAAGAGAGCCAAGGTAATCATGTCTGATTTTCGATATGTAATTTTATAAGGATAACTTCGTTGTTGCTGTGCCTCTATATGTTCTTCAAAATTTGTGATTTGAGCCAATTTTCAAAGGATAGTTTGATATTGTCTCTATCCGTCATGAAAGGTTTTTAGCAAATATGACGTTTAGCAAACTCAGATTTGAGCTAGGCAATCAATGGTTGATTTACAGAAAGTTATAGAACGGTTTTGGGTTTAGCACACAGCAATTCCTGTGCCTGTTGAAATATAATATTGAAATTTTCGGCCTTGCAATTTTTTCAAGATGGAGACTGAAAACGTTTCCCTAAGCTACATTATAGTTGAAGTGAAGTTAAATTTTTAGCCTGTACCATATAAGGTGTTTGTAGCGAAATTTCAAGGTACTTTTGCAGCACTCTGAAGATAAAGCTTTTTCAAGCTAGCTTTATGAGCCAGAAATTTAGGGTGGATTGGCCCTAGTGTTCCTTGCTATGTCGATTTGAGTATTTTGTCTTTATGTTAAAACAAACTATAAAGTCAAGTTCATAATAACCGGATACATTTTATCGAAAACATATTAGATTTTTTGTTCTACATAAATTGTGGTTTGAAAAGTAACCTTGAATGGCTATATAGGTCTCTAGTTTTCGTTCCTATTTTGAAGACTGAGGTTAAGCGAACTTTTTGACATGATGAAATTTGCTATTGACTGAAAGGGAAGTAGAAGTTGAAACTGAGTAATCTATATCCGAACTGGAAACAGTTCTGTTTGGTCATAGCTATCATGTTCCGTATTTACCATTGACCATCATTAGTTTAACGTCGTTTTGTTCTGTTAGTTTTGCTTTGTTATTTGCAATATATATTTGTTGACTTTCTTTAATGATATGATTTTTTTTCAGGGTATGTTTTCGGCGGAGGACTTCCGATAAACAAGAAACTCCAAAATCAAACCAATTATAATTTATTCTATAGCCTTGAAATAAATGTGAATTTTTCTTTTTTATCATTTAATTAATGCATATTGCTTAGAAATTTGTTGTCTTGGATATTTTGATTCGACAAAATGTCTGACTTTTTCCATTCTCGGCTATTCTTTGGGCATTTATATTTGATACTTTTGATAGTGAATGAATTGGGTGTCCGCGTACGGTCTTTATTAAGGCTCCTTTGGTAAGATATGTAGCTACCAATAATGCTCGATTCTTTTACAATGAATCGAAATCCACGATCTACGTCTATTTATTCACGAAATAATAAATTGGATCTACGCCAAAGAAAAAAATTCTCGAAAGAACAATTATTCTTGTTAGTTATTCCTTCGTGTAACCCAGCCTAAAAAGAGATTAACTGTTTAACAAAACAACAGATATACTGGCAGTAGGTTTGCTTGCGTCAATGTCGCCAAGCATGGTCACCTGTCAAAGTAATTTTTAAGGCTTATTTGAGTATGATGTTTCGCTCGAAAGCCTTCCAGGAATTGTGGTTTCATCAAATTGGAATGGGAAATGTGTAACGGTCCTGTTCATCATATTGGGCTTTGACATGTGTAACGGTCCTGTTTTTAGAAATTGACGTGACAAAGTTGTAATCAAAAATTTAATTCAAACTCTTGAAATATTTATACAAAATGCCAAGGCGAAAGTTTTATATAATCCAAGGATGAAATAAGTTTTTGTACCGCAAAATTCGAAGATGGCACAAAATATCGAAAACATAGTAACCTGACACTCTTCAGAATATGAACGTTGGATAAAAGGTAAATTTTAATTGCAGGATTGGTAGATAATTCTATCAAATTTTTTATCTCTAAAGTTTTAAGAATTTGAAAAAATACATCACAGCCTTAAAAATTATAGTTTTTTTAATACAAAGGTGGTTTAAGATCTTGATTTATGCTTCTGGTTGTTTTGAATCATCTTCCCATGCACTTAAAGGCTAAGTAGGTTTCTCGATTTTTTTCTAAATAATCTTCTTTCCATTATTTCTGGTGATCGTTGTTTTCGAGTTCCCTGCTCTTAGCTTTGCAAAACTACTTTTTTAGCTTTGGTTGACATAAGTATATTAACTTGCATCCAAAGACATTGCTATTTGCTTTAGCTGAATCGACACTCTTGACGGTTGATGACTGGACCGGCTAGATTTCCATTTCCAAAACAGGAAGTTCTTTTTCACGAAATGAAACTGTTAAAGCCAAGAGGGTGTGTAATGTTGGTTTTTCCAAAGGAAACTGTCTTAGGTTATATTATTAACATTGAATCTGTTTAAAGAAGATGCAGGTGATCAAAGTTGTTATGTTTCTCGAAACCTACGTGGATATTTGCCTTCTCTGACGTCAAGATGGTTTCCTTGAACTAGTATAGTCGTGACCTCATGACTGTAACGGGGGTAGATAACATTTGAAATGTCATTTATTTTGTAAAATCTACTATTAGGATAACCAGGATAGAAATGGAACTACATTCTTCTTTTATAAGAACAATTTTGTAAAAACACGAGCCTCAAAACTGGTCAAAAGTCAAAAACAATTTAAGAACAAGCTGAGGCTGAGCTTCTGCAAAATGCAATTTCAACAACGTTTTTTCTCAAAAATCGAGAATTTTTAGCGATGTGTGGGTGCTTTTTCGGTGAATATTCAAATTTGTCAGCAAATTAAGGCTGTCTCACTCACTTTGTTGGCAAATGAGGCCTGAACACCTCCTTAGAGCGAAAAAGCTAGCAATAGCACTGCTTACACCCTCTTAATTTAAGAACAAATTAAGAACAATCCAGTCTCAGATTTTCGAAAAATTAAGAACAGTCAGCCTGAACTTAAATTTACTGGTTCTTATAAAAAAAGAGTGTATTTAGCCAAACGAAAAACTATCTTTGCTTGATCCTTTATTGATGTTAATACATAAAGGTCGCTGAAATACCTAAAGCTTTTCTTCCACTGGGCGGATTTTACCTGAAATTTGCTTTCGAGATACTATTGGGGGGGAGGGGGGGTGGTGTGACATCCCCCACACCCCCGGCCGCGACGCCCCTGAACAAAGGATTAATTAAACTGGAAAAAGGGTTGGAAATATTTTTTGACATAAAAGCCAACCGATTTTTTGACATAAAAGCCAAGCAGTTAAAAAGAACTAATTCTGTAGGGACTTCAACCCTAAAACTGACAGAAACTCATTGAATAAAGATGGGGAAATGTGGTTTCTATTACGCGGGTCTTTACTATAGTTCAGGCATAAAATAATGTTTTTGTTTGGCAAATTGCAGGTTTAGGAGGCAGCAGTCAATCAAGCTGAAGCAGGATTCACGAAATATGTCTATTTGAGTTGGATGATCCTCATGGATATTGACGTCTTATTCCTGTATCCAGATGGCTCACTTTTTAAATTGCCGCTCCTCTGAGTTTGAAAACATTATTGTTTACAGTTTACATGCGCAAAAATCTTTTCTAAGGAGATTCAACCAGTAGTTGATTACCTGAAGCGATTTCGCCCTTCAGTATTTGATGGTGTAATGCATACGTAACAAACAGGATATGGATTTGGCCGCACCCCCGTTATCTTCTATTTGACCATTTTTCTAACGTTAAATGCATCTTTGGTTTTATTCCGGGTTAGAGAGACTATAAAAGTTTGTTTCTGTCAAATGTTTCTTCAGATGATTTACTGTCGACAGGTTTTTAAATTACAATAAAGAACACCAGACTAAAAACAAGGGCAGCTTTAACAGGATATTGAGCAATCATCTTATCAACTAGTCACAAAACGATGAGCATGCTTGAGTTGAAAGCTTGGGCCTATCAGAAAGAATTTGAGAAGACGCTGCAGGTAATTTTTATTGAATTAGCACAATTTTAATACGCTTAAAAGATACACCTTTTTCCTCACGCATGGATCCCACTTCTGTTGTTTTTGTGATAATGTTTTTCTGAAAAAGCGCATAAAAATAGCGCTGATGTTATTGTTAAACATTTATTCCAAAGAACTTTATCGAGTTTTGTTATGTTGATGTTGTGACTACAATTGAGAATCATTTGAAACTGCCAATGACATATGGCTCGGAAACTCGAAAGAGACTGTCTTCATCAGCATAAATGAATTTTTCGATCGCATATATTTTAAGTTGAATCATATTTTTAAATTAATCCAGTTCTAGGTTTTCGTAACTTGTAAAGGACTATTTCTGTATCAAGTAAATATAAGAACCAATTTCAGAGATTAAAGTGAAATGAGTTTTTAAACATTAAAGTTTTAAATTAGAATGGCAGCTAAAAAATGAGAATGGCAGCTAAAAATGACAGCTGCGGAGTCGAGGGAGAGGGAGGAGGGGAAAAAAGCGGTTTCCACTCTTCCCCTCTTCTCTCTCCTTCGCCTCCGCAGCTCTCATTTTTGATGCCATTCACACTTTTTGCTGCCTTCAATTTTTGCGGCTCTGATACCCAACAGGCTTCTCTTCACCTGTCTATGTGCTTTCCTATAAAGGACAGATTTAATACGCACGCAAGACTGGTTAGTGAGTTCGACAAATTTCGATAAAACAGGTAATGCCAAAGCCACCACAAATGAGGAGTTCTAGGAAATCCTCTTTGCGTGATTCTGTTGAAAGTAACCAGTTAGTGGCACATATGAATCTGTACAGGAAAACACAGGAACATACCCAAGATAATACATATGGCATTGACATGAGTGTCCTTGACAGTATTTATGGCATTGACATGGTTGTTGCGGCACAATTGTTTCAGAAACCTGATTCAGATTAATTTTGTGGCCTAAAGATGAGTGCAGATTCCAAAATATATAATAGATCATAGAATAAAACCATATAAGCGACAAAGCCTCTTTATGTAGTTGATAGGGGCGTGGTGGGAATTTTTAAGGACCGGGAAAATCCAGTTTTCAGGGGCACACTATTTTGATGCTGGCTGTTTCTTTCTTTTATCAGTTATATCATATTGTCATCGATGTCTCTTTATATTTATGAAGATTTCTGAGTAATCTCCAAAATCACGTCACAGTTCAAAAAGTCCAGTTTTCATGACTCGTAATCCATTCATAAAATTTGCAAAAAATATCAGAGAAAAATAACAGAAATTAATAAACAACTTTTTTAACGATAAGAACACTTGACAGTATAACAAAACATTAAGAAATCGTTAAGGGAAAACTGATGCAAAATACCGACACGGAGAAGAGAAAATTTGAGAAAATTCGTAAGTTAGACAGAGGAAATTACTAATAATCTTCGAATAAATTAAAACAAAACATAATATAGTTTTCCAGGTTCTCCAAGCAATTTGATTCAATCTTTTTCATTAAGATGGTGAGCAACAAAAGTTAAAGCAATAACTGATGAAAAAGTAAAAGTTTGATTTTTGTATACAATGGCATCTAGGCGATAGTAGCCAGGCCACTGCTCGATATGCATGGCTTATAAGTGTCCTAAAAACTACCTTCGGATGCTAGGTAGAAACTAATACAAGATACAAACAATAGATACAAAATCTATTTATTTATAAGCAAATAATTAGCCCAACACTTTACTATTTGATTTTCGTTGCCTTAACGCACACGTTTGAGCGATAAAATGTTTGTAACAGCAACATCAGCAACATGACAAAGAGAAGTGTATCTTATTAATTTGAAAAACTCAAAATCCTTCGAATGCTACACAAGCGTCATTGTTTTTAAGATTACTTTGATTTTGTCATATACAATTTCAATAATTAGTTCTCTAGCCTTCACTGATTTACGTGTATTTATTGTTGTTTATTGTCGCTGTATTGCGGTGTTTCTTATTTGCTACATTTTTATCGACTTTTCGCCGCAAGAACTCCTTGGAGCACGTCGAACAGCCTGCTACAGTGACCTTTTCTTCATTCACACAATCTCAATAATGTCATGTTTATTTTAAAAGAATCCACTATGCACGTGAAAAGCTGAGAGACCGGCGAAGACAAAAGAAGTCGTTTACATACAAAACTTGCAACCAATGCTGAATGTGTTCAGGCGAGTTTATTGTGAGATCTCAAAAGGATGGATTAATTTGTTGGACAATCACATCAATAATTAAATAGGTCGTCTCTGCCCGATGAGTGCAGCGCAGTGAAAATACAACCAACACTATATACACCAGAGACAGTGCTTAGTCTCGAAATTTCTCATGCAAAAACACAGCAACGAAGATCGCGACCAAGACTAGGCTGATCTCGAAATTCTTTTTGCTTATTCAGGAAAATAAAAGTACTGAGTGGAGACGAAATATGACTCAAGCTAAAGTTCAGATGCCGAAATGGTCAGCTGTTAAGAACTTCCTAGAATGTCCACTCTGTTTGCAAATTTTCAAGAATCCGCATAAGGTGCAGTGTGGGCATCGCTTTTGCGAAGTTTGCTTATATTCACTAGAAAGGTATGTTGCAGGAACTTGAGCTTTCTATGGTTTTTCATTTGGTTCGTATTACAGGTTACAACTAATATTAGGCCAAACGACCAATTATGATACCTGCTAGAAATTCAGTGTAATGAAGTGCTCCTTCGTCGTGTTACCGGTCAAGAACGTTAAATTCACCTCCCTTTTATGTTATATTTTCTTTGTTGAGTTCTTACGAATTCCTCTCTATTTTCCAACTAAAAAAGTTAAAGAACTGTCTCAATGTCTAGCAAGTATTATGTCAACATTTAGATTACTCAAATTCATTAGCTAGACAAACATGGGGATATGAATGAATTAAATGAATGGCTGATAGTCTTGGTTTGTTAGCCTATGGGCCCCTTTTCTCATTCCTTGGTAGAGTTTGCTCTTTTAAAATAAATTGATTTCTTTCATATCTATGTAATAACACGCCTCATTTGCCGTCAAAAATATCAACAACCATTGAAAAGCAAATAGGAGACTTGACAAGTCCTTTAGAACTTAGACAACTGTTCCATTATTGTTATAGAAAAAGATGATTAGTAGATTTATTAATCTAAAATTATTTCACCAACAACAGCGATGTTTCTGCGAACGAGCAAACATTGGATTTTAAGCATGCAGGGCCGTGAGTAATAACACAGTGATAATTCGCCACGCCTATTATTATTCTTGATTAAAGAAAACTGAAAGATTTCGTTCAAATTGATCGTTAGTAATATAGTCATTTCCACCTTCAGGAATAAAGGGAAAATATGCCCACTTGACGGCAAAAGAATTACGCCGGAAAATGTAAGTACGAAGTGTCTACACTGTTGTTTTATGTTTCATTGAAAATGGAAGTCCCTACTGAGATAGAGGTATGCTCTACTGTAAGAAGAAGGAACAAGAATAAACTTGTTTAATATCATCGCTCTCGCCTTGGCGGACAGATCAATAGGAGATGGAAACATAGGGGCTTGAAGAGCTGCAGCCTATCAAGCAAAATTTATCACATTTCCAGCTCCGGTTGATTCGATTTAGAATTAATAAGAGAGCCAACATTCGCATGCATTTACAAGAGAGCAAACATTCAACACATTGCTTTTTTCTTCGAAAAATGAGAAAAACGTAAGAGCTGGCCATGCTAAAGAAAAAGAATGTTATGCGACTGGAGAACATCCATTTAAGGTCAAACGCCAAACCTGAAAATTGCCGAATCAAATGCAAACGTTAATAGAAAATATCTACACTTAACATTGTCAACATAATTTCCTTTAGAATTTTTTGATTTTTCTAGCAGGACCTACCAACATGTAAACGGTAACGATGTTTGTATGAACAGGAAAATACAGTCTGCCACTCCACCCACTCTGTTTGCCCTTTGCTTTCTCTAAATGGGCTCTAACGATTTGTTGTGGAGTTAATAGTGGTCTTAGACAGAAAATGGAAACGGTAGTTGCTATTTCAAGGAAGTTTATCGCTCAATTCTAATATCACCCAAAAAGGGATGTTTTAATATCTGGTTTATGGTAAATAAAGGTTGGGTGGGAGGCTGAAATTAATTTATTGTGCGGTTTTAGATCTTCGCTCAAATTACTTTAACAATAACAAAATAACAATACTTTATGAAGATAATGATGAAGATAGAATAAGGTTAATATCTTTTAAATACTAGCTTAAAAAAGAACACACTCTTTTTTATAAGAATCAGGAAATTTAAGTTCAGGCTGACTTTTCAGGCCTCATTTGCCAACAAAGTGAATGAGATAGCCTTCATTTGCCGATAAGCTTGAATATTTACCAAAAAAGCATCCACGCATTGCTAAAAGTCCTCGTTTTTGTTAGAAAAAGGTTGTTCAAAATTTGCTTTTTACAGTAGCTCAGCCTTAGCCTGTTCTTAATTTGTTCTTAACTTTGGACCAAATTTGAGGCTCGTGTTCTTATAAAATTGTTCTTATAAAAAGGAGTGTACAATAAAACTCTTATTGACAAACACAAATAGGAAGCAGTGTAATCCGTCTAGAATCAGAATGGGAATCTATAGGAAATCCGTAAATGATTTATGCGCGCATGATATTGACAAAGATTTGAAACGTTTAGCAGATATGGTTGACCGGAGCCATGATTATATCCTTCTCCCCATTGAAAAGGACCTTTCGGTTGTTGCAGTTGTAACTGGGTCGACTAAAAGCAACTGCAAGACAATAGCATTGATATCCATTGTGTCAGTGATCGTTGTAGCCTGCGTGCAGACTCCAAGTATCTTACCAGTGGTTATGACCGTTGTGGATGGGACAGGAAATATCTTTCAACAGATAAATGATCCCCTTTGTTATGTCTTGCTTTGAAAAATTGATATAGTCTACAATTTTTTTTCTTTTTAAATTTTCCTCTCGCCTTCTCTTTCATTTACCCTTTTATATTTCTTATGCATTTATTTCTTCTATCCCTTTTTGAATTATTAAGGGAAAAGATAATACTACCAAAGTTGGGGCTTCAGCCCTCAAGTCCCCCTTTTTGGTGGCACCTATAGAGAAGAGAATTTTGGGGAACAAGATCGGGAACTATTCCATTGTTATTACTGATTAACGTTTTTACGGTGTGATAAATAAGACAAGTATACTGCTAAACAGACTCAAACTCACTCAACAATGATAAATACATTCAACTCACTAAAAAGACGGAAACAGCTAATTGTTCAGCTGAGTCATTGAGTCGCTAGGCGTGTGCTGTTCCGCAAGGTGGATTGACTACTTATTGAAAGCCAGCTATTTAAACTTGCTAACCTTGTGAAACTATGAAATGTGAAATATTACTAGCGCTAGTAAGTCATCTTAATAGTTTGTTTCTTCTTCATTTAAATAGGCCGTTCTCGACATGGATTTACAAAGGAAGATCGAGTCTGTTGTAGCTACTTGCCCGTTTTCCACGAACGGATGTGACTGGAATGGGAATGTTCCCAACCTAGAGGTACGTCTCTTTGTATGATTTGAATGATTCGATCTTAGTTTAAATTTTAAAAGCTATATCACGACTCCCTTACTCGAACCCCACACCCATTAACGGGAATTTCTGATATTTAATAAAAAGCTGCCCACAAAAATTCGCAGAATAGAATTAATCGTAAACACTAGCTGGCAAGCACAGTTTTTTTATCTCGTCGAAATTTGTTCGACCTGGTCTACCTGTCGTCTCTGTTAGTTCGATGATTTCATTGTGAAAAATTGTTCTATTATAACAGAGGAGCTAACCCGAGACACAAATTTTACATCAAATTTTCTACATGATATGTTGTCCGGGAGACAATAACCTTTAGTCCTTTGTTACGAGACATTACCGCGGGTCATGGCACATGTGCAATAATGACAGTTTTCGCATAGCTGTTCTGTATGTAATCACACAACTCTTGAACTTCCCGTCAGGGCATCAAGTGACAATGCGCATGTGCATTGGTAAGAATTGTAGGTTATATAATTGAATTCTCTTTAAAAACAGTTGAATTTTTTACAACAATTGGAGAAAGAGCCGTTTGACAGTGACTCTTTAAAGAAACAAGTTCTTTGGAATATTTCCGATCTTTCTATAACATCGTTTGGAAATAATGGTTTTTCCATCGCCAATTTGATTTTGTATTTAAAAATATTTTGATTGGTGTTTAAAGTTGCCTGTTCTTATGCTTTCAATCCTTGATCATTTCCTTAGCTAAACATTTTAAATAAATTTCAAAACTGTGGAAATTCCTTTTTAGTCACTGTTGCAAGCTTTCCTGAAAATATTATGAAAATAACAGTAATCTTTTCATCTTCAGGAACATAAAAGAAGTTGCCTGTTTTCAAAAGTGACCTGTCCGAAAGGTTGTGGCAAGCAGCTGTTAAAAAAGGAAATTACTGCGCACTCGAAAGCAAATTGTATCTCGTCATTTGCACGATGCTCGAAATGCTACATTGAAATGACTGTCGATCAGCTACAGGTGACTGACTAAAATATATTAATATTCAAAAGACCATTCAATAGCAGGGGCAATTACATAGTTGGCAATTACATAGTTCATTAGACTATGATCGTAAGTCACAACTAAAAAAGCAATGAAAATATTCATTTGTTATTTGTTTTCTCTATTTCATTACTACATATTAAGTAAGGTAACACATACTGCTCTCAAAGACAAGGGGATTCCATTATCAACTCGTTTTCTCAAAATTACGGGCATTCATGACGCAAAAGGAACTAGTAAGATGTCGAGTTTTGGGTGAATGCTTAAAGAACGTATACTTAAACATTAGCTATGGGGCATTCCTGTAGATACCAGTTGATACGCGCTCATCGACAGTTTTAAAAGACGTTCACTGAAGTATCCTATTCATGCCTTTGATTTAACATAATGTCTAAAAGAACTTTAAGACGGAATCTTAAAGTATCACAGGCTTTGGAACAAAATTAGATTTTGCAGTGATATCTATTAAAACAGTTTCTAAATACCGCTGTAGATTTCATAAATGGACCGACACCGTATCTGATGAGCAAAAGAGATACAGAAGCCTAAATTGTTTCTACGTTTAAATTAGAGGCAATTTCTGAACTTGAGACTTTTCTCTCAAGCCCAAATCACCTGTTTTCGCTTAGCTTCCTGCCATTCAAGCTCAGTTATGTTTTCATCTCTTTCTTTTCTAGACACACGAATGTCCATGTGAAAGGTACACCTGTCCAGATGGGTGTGGCAAGGCTGACATGTCATTGGAAGAGCTAAGAAGGCATCGCAATCCAAGCAATGGACAATGTAGCTCTTTGCGATTACCATGTCAATTCAAAGATGGAGGATGTAGCTTTGTGGTAATTCAAATTTCTAATTTTTATTTCACTTCTGTATTATATGAAAACGTGATTCTTTATCACCATACTAAACTTTCAATGGAGAACATTTTCAGTTTATAAAACATTTAGTTCAGGAAAACTAGTCGTCTAAATCTAGGTATCTCACCAATTCATTTCAATGTAAATATCTTTTCTACTGACCTTTAATAAGGGGATGATTCTATTGTTTGTGATTTTATTACAAATAGACACAATATATTACAAAGGTATTCAAATCTGTTGAATCGATCAGGCATTCTCAAAAAACCCAAATGGGCATATTAATCTGCAAAGGCAACAACTTCAGATTTTTGCTTGCATCATTTCTAGGGATCAAAGCGAGATATGGAGGTTCATTTAAAGAAGTCTGAAGAGCACACACAAATCCTTACAGAATCTTTTTCAAAGTTAAAACTAAAACAAAAGGCAACAGAAGATCTTGTTGAGAAACAGGCTGCTCAGCTGAAATCCATACAAGAGAGCTTTTGTCAATACGCCATTCTTTTAAAAGAGTTTGAAACCAGACATCACGAGCTAAGAGAACAAGTTTCACAACATGAGACAACTATACAGAACCAGGCATCACAAATAGCTGAAAAAGATGCCATGATCAGCGAACTGAGAGCGCAAATAGATGAATGTAGTGTGATTGTTGATGACCTACAACACGGCAGTCAAAACGGGACATTATTGTGGAAGGTTTGCAGTTTTAGAGAACAGCTGAATAAAGCTTTGTCCCAAAGGAATTTCTCAGTTTTCAGTCCAGTTATATACACGAGCAAATTTGGTTACAAACTATGTGCCCAGTTGTTTCCTGCAGGCTCTACTGACAGCAGTGGAAAATACATGTCTATATATTTTCATCTACTGCCGTCTGATCATGATGATGTATTGAGGTGGCCATTTTCTAACAAAATATCATTCACGTTAATAGACCAGGCAGACCACCCTGAAGAGGCACGCAACGTATCATACACAATCGTTCCTGCACCAAATGCAAGCAATTATCAAAAACCAAATCAGAAAATGAGTGAAGGACGTGGATGTCATCAATTTCTTTCTCTACAGGAGCTCGAGAGTAGAAATTACATCAGGAATGATAGCATTTTTATCAAGATCAAAGTTTTGCAGAAAAATAACTAACTCGAACAATAAAAAATGGCCAACTATAAACGTAAAAGTATTAGTTATTGAAGAATGTACAAAATTACTTAAAGAGGTGTTAAGCCTCCTTTAGAACAATGTTCTTAAAAACTTCAAAACCTCCCAGAGCAAGTAGGCAATCTGTTGTTTTACAAGCTTACTTGCCTCCCTCACAACAGACTCATATGCATAAATTTCACAGAATGTAATACAGTAACTTTGTAGCACCCGATATATGCATACATATAAAAATTTTAGATCCCAAATTAAAACACTTAAAATATTGTTTTTTCTGATGCACAATTTTTCATAACTGATGACCAATGATGATCAGTGCATTTTAAAAAAGCCATTAATAAATCTAACATCTACACATCCTCGTACTAGTTTTGATGTGTAAATAGTTACTTTATCTATACTATACATTCAAATATTTGTTAACCCTACAGAATCTATTCATTTGCATGAGTAAACCAAAATGGAATTTTTTTTCTTGAAAACGTTTGTTCAGATTTCTCTGATTTTCAATCTGCAGATAAGTGATATTTAGGAACATATAGATATGACAAAGTCAATTAGCAAAACATTGCTAGTTAAAGTGCCTTTGAAATGAAATTTCACATATAGTTTTTTTGTAAGAAATGGAAACTTCTACATGTTGTTGCAATACAAAACGAAAATTAACTCGAAAATTTGCACGGGAAAGTTTGTTTTTGGGGTTTTAAAAACAATGAGTGCGAGTGACAAGAATTAGTGACGTCACAAGGTTTGCAGTTGGTTCCGTCTTCACAGTGAACACACCATATAATACCACTTAGTCAGGGCTGTTAGTCAAACAATTCTGCAAATTGTGATACCAGCATGAAATTTTGCAAATAGGGGTAGTTTGATACGCTGAAACCCAACTGAAAGGATATGGAACCCAACTGAAAATTTCCTGAAAGTAGGTATAGTAGAACGAAACTTTACAACGTGGGGCAGTTTGATACGGTACAAAAGATAGGATATAGAACATAACTGAAAATTATCCCCTTTTTTATTTTTAGACTGGGCTTCTTTGCTCCAGACCTATAAAGACGGTTTGATTGCATCTCAATCGTACTTTAGTACTAGAGCACTAAACTTTGCAAAATAGGACAGTTTGATAGGCTGAAAAAGATAGGATAAAGAACACGACAGAAAATTGCCCCCTTGGGCTATTTTTAGATTAGGGTATTATACTGCATGACTCCGCTAACGACGTTATTTTGATACCTCTGCCGAAAGTAGGTACAGTAGCAAGAAACATTGTAATAGACGGCAACCTGATACGCAGAAAATGATAGGATAAAGACTTCATCTGAAAATTCCCCCTTGTTCTATTTTTAGACTGGGGTACACCGCCCAAGATCTTAATAGCCGGTATTATCGTATTTCAGTCGTACTTTGGTGCAACAGTTTGAAACTTTGCAAAGATAGACAGTTTGATGCGCTAAAAAAGATTGGGTATGTACCCTGACTTAAAATTGCCCCGTACGGCTATTTTAGCGGTAGTTCGATTAACGACCTCCGTGTATTAAACGTCAACTGCTTCCGTGTTTGCAAACTTCGTGACGTCACAGATAACGGCGCTTTGTCACAGTCGAAAACGTGAAAATGGGATATTCAATCTAAATTTTTAGACGGTTCCGCAAGAAAAAAATCACCTCATAGTATATCATTGAAATCAGCAAATTTTGCTTATAAAAAGTGTGCCTTTATCTAAACTTGTCAAACTTCATTTCATAGGCACTTTAAAGCAAAAGTAGTTCCATGGTTTTACTAAATTAATGTCATATGTACTGAAAATAGGAACAAACTACTTTGTCACAAAATAAAATTGAGTTGTATCGTGTGTGGATTCTACAACAACACATAATATTTCAGTTTGTAAATTCCTAGATAAGTATTTTGATATTGTTACTTGTTTTTGATGTCCTGGTGTTGGAGTTGCTTGGTAAGTAACAATCAAACCAAATTGTTGATACTTTTTAGCGGTACATGGCATCTGCTGCTCCATAAAACTTTGACTAAGAAATTCAAGAACAGCTCAGAAACAGTTATTCACCTCAATATCTCTTTCCACCAATCTTTGTGTCATGTCCTCACTTACCTATGGTGATGATTACACAAGTATGTGATTACATGTGCCCAACAGAGACACCATAAATCCTCGAATTAGCCCCCTGGGGGCTTATTTATTTTTGAGATTTTTGGATGGGGGCTTATTCGAGGAGGGCTTATACCAGGGGGGAGGCTTATAAAATTATTGTAGACATTAAGAAGACATGACTAAAAGACCTCGTTCATTATAGCAGAAATTTTTTTATGAGCATTTAATCAATTACTACCATAAGTATGAATTTGTTGTGGTAATTGAATAAAACGCCATAAGCAACCTCAGATGGCGAAAATCATCAAATTTAGGGGTTCAATTTGAGAATTTAAGGTAGCAGTGGGGGCTTATTCAAGGGGGGGACTTATTGACAATTTGTAGTTCTAAGGTGGGGGCTCATTCGAGGGAGGGCTTTTTCGAGGGGGGAGAGGGGGGGGCAATTCGAGGATTTACGGTAGCTAGGGCACGCATTGAAGCATTGACATAAAAAATAAGAAGAAATGACAAAGTGAAATGAAGACACAAAATTCAGAAAGAAAATTTACAATCATTAAGATTATGCACTATAATAACTTTTTGATTTGATGTGAAATACTTGAAAATGCTGTTGGTAATTGAAAGCATTGAAAGAGGTGTGGCATTGTATTGGTATATGTTGGGTGCATCACCAACTATATATTTGAACAGCTTAACTGTCTGAATTTCTGGCTGTGTCAGGGGCATTTTGGCTGGGGGGGGGGCACCGGGAGCAAAAAGTAGTTGGTAATTTCATATCTGTTCGGCAAACAATACTTGTAATTCATGAAAAAGCAAGAAAGTTCTAAAGAATCAGTACAAGAAGAAAGATATAAACAGGAAAAGTTTTTTATGAAGACAGTAAAACTCATGGTTATTTATTTCACAGTATGCCTATCCAAATCTATATAATTGTACAGGAAACGGCAAGCTTGCCAATTGGTATTACTAAATGCGGGTCCGCCTTCTTAAAGCTCAAGTCTGTAAAAACTGCTGCAATCAACAATGGGTCATGAGAGGTTAAATAAATGTAGAGCTTGACTTAGGTGACACTCAATTATGACAAAATAATTGGCATGTTTGCTGACACACCATTGCTAAGGAGACTTCTTGTGCACTGAAATCTTCCAGTCTGTTTCTTTAGAATCTTAAGATACTAATTATCAGTCCTATTGCAAGTTTTATTGTTCATCACAGATACTGATTACTGATGATTATGATTATCCAATGTTTGAATATGGATGTCGGCTTTCCTCTGATCAACTTCTTGAAATCGGTAAAATAGATGCTGCAAAAGATGTCTTTTTCTATTTAAACAAACTGTGCATGTGCTTGATGACGCCACTACCCCCATGAACTGTGTCCAGCTATGCCAAAAATTTAAAGCACTATACAACACAGTTAATATCATTTGATGATAAATAAAATAGATACAATGCAATAATTCATTTTTTCCTTAATAAAAAGGAATCTGGTAAGAACATATAAGCACTTACTTTCAAACAACCCTTGATCCTTATGTATGACAAATGCATACATTTGCCTTCTAAAAGTGTTTTTAATCCTATATCTGTAACTTGAAAGCAGGAACCACAATCTAGTTCTTCTAGGTTCGTGCAGTGCATTCCCATAAACTTCACTGCTTCATCTGTAAACCCATAATTGCCAGCAGTAGAGAAAGCCCTGATCCTATTGCAGTTTTTAAAAAGCTGAATAACCCCGCTGTCTGTTATCTGAAATAGAAATATAGGAAGTCAGTGTTATTATACTACCCTAAAATTATGGTGCAATGATGGCTTAATGGTTAGGACTGATGAATTTAGATCCAGAAGTCTGTGATTTGAGCCCCTGACATGCCAAAACTTTCACTCAGAGTGAAGAGAGTTGCCAGCCAGTTGCTCTTATTTTTTGGGAAAATTCAGCCTTTGTGTTTTTATGTGTGTTCTCATGAAAAAGAGTGTACTCTAAACTGTGCTTCACCACTGGAATCAAGGAATTATTTTAAATTTCATCTCTTAGAAAAGTTTCATCTCCTATACAATGCTTTTAAAGAACTTGGAGGCTTATTTTCTAAAATTCAAGAACTGCATGTGTCTTTTTCGCTAAGGTCTTTGTTGATCAATTGCAAATTTGCTGTTTGTTCAAAACAAGGGCCCAGCTTTAAGGCTTGCATATATGCTCACATCTAAACTTTAGATTAACAAAAATATGTAGCAGCCAGGATCTTCTTGCACTATTATCGATTGAATCAACCCTGTCAATCATGTCATAAATCAAGCCATGTAAATAACACACAGCTTGCAGCTAAAATGACTTCACACGCAGCTATACAAAGCTAAAATCATATAATGTTTTCCAACCTATAAGCTGGGTGTGCTTATTTTATAAAGGACCTATTTTATGAAAAAACCAGCAGTTTTTTTGGCAATCAATGCCACTGTCTCTCAAACAAAATCTAACATTTATGTAGCATCAAGTTAACAATATGCTTCAAAAGTGGTATTGTATCAAGCAGAATCCTTACATAACCTGAAAGCAATGGCTTATATCGATAGATTCCAATTTTCCGCAGTTTCTTGCCATAACTTCCAGTACCTCATCATCCACATGCTTACATCGTCTAGAGGAGTATGACCTAAGGTCTGAGCAGTTGCTTAGCAAAGTATTTAAATTGTTTTTGGTAGCAATTCTCCAGCATTTATCCAAACATACATTTTGCAATTTCGATAGATGCTTGAATATACTTTGACATCCAACTTCAGTTATAAGATCTAATACATCTGTGAGGTCTAGTCTTTTAATCATAGCAAAGTATTCATTAACAAAATCCTGCCAAGCATGGCTAACACCACGAAGTATGCACAGCTCTGCAAGATCTAGATATGGCAAGATTAGATCTGATATAATTTCCGCTGGAAAAACTTTTATTGGGTCCATTTTACTGTTAGGTAGAGTCAAATATAAATCTTTTTGCTGTGGTTAAATTATAAAGTGGAACATTTTCGTACGCAAACCGTATTATTCTTTCATCAATCCGAACATGTAACGTTCCTCGTAGTGTATTGCATAAATGTAGCTTCCAGATATAGCAAAACGTTGTTTGGACGTTCCAACGTGAGAGTAAACAATTCCTGTAGGCAGGCAGGACCTCTTTCCGAGAACTAACGAACCTCCTCCACTGATCTGTGACCTCCTCTCAATAAATTCTGAAAACGAGACACGATTTATTTGGCGCGAAGAAGGCGATTTGAGTTTTGGAAAGTGTAGATAGCTTATTAGAGCTTAGATTGAAAAGGATTCTGAAAGTGAGTATGCATAATGCATTTTGATGATATTTAGGCATCCAAGAACACACCAGAAATATCAATACTTACTACACAGACATACGAAATACTATTATTAGTTAGGCCCGTGTTCGTTTTTCGCAATAGACAATAATGTAACATACGCAAAAGCGTTTACATGTCTGTAAGAGAGGTAAAGTGCATATTAAAACTCGTGAAGAAACCAATTTATCTTACATATGTCCCAACTTCGAAAATGCTTCGTGTGCAAGAGTGCTGACAAGGTTTGCACACTAGTCACTTTGTGTGAAAGGTGATTATAATTTAGCATGGGATCATTAATGCATTTTGACTATTCTTGGCAAACATTTAACAGGGTAGCAACAGTGGTGTAGGGTTTAAATAATCTCATTCAGTCAATATTAACACTATTCAGTCACCATGAACCTTCTGGAGTCAATTGATGTCTCTATAATTTTGACAAACATTTAACAGGGTAGCAACAGTGGTGTAGGGTTTAAATATGGGGTCTCATTCAGTCAATATTAACACTATTCAGTCACCATAATCCTTATAGTGTCAATTGATGTCTCTTGACCAGCCCTTCTGTTTCAATTTCAGTTTTCATCATTAATCAATCAATCCTAATTACAATTCTACATAATACACTACACCTAAATACAAACAAAAATACCCCACTACACAAAAATAAGTTAAAATTAAAGATTACAAAAAAAGATTTACATGATTGTATTTAAGATTGATTGATTTAGAAGGAGCAATCTAAATAGGTTAACTAATTGAGAGAGAGCCCCAGGTAGAGAAAATAAAACTACAACATGTTTTGTTAGAATTAAAACAAATTGTTTGTCAGATTTTTCTGAAGAGACCAAATGAATAGCAACAATTTATAGAGATTTTCAATCAAGAAACAAGGTTGATTTCAAGAAGTGAGTTTTCAGTATGAGTCAAGGAAATGAATTTTCAATTTGGACCAAAAAACTGCAACGGAGCTAGCCCTTGCTTAGGAAGCTGACATAAAATTTGGGCTGAAGTTTTCAGAGAACTGGGATGAGCATCAGTGGTCTTAGCATTAGCATGGGCCATGATTTCAAAACATCAAACCAAGATATTGATATATGAAATGATTGAAGAGCCATTGTGCCGCAATCTAAAGGATTTGTTTCTTAAAAATTTTCCTGGGGGTGTACCTTCTGAGCCATTTTCTCCTGCCAAATGTACCATAGGCATTTCTTGGATCCAATCAAAAAATAAGAATCCATTAGCAATTTAAGAAAAGAAGATATGAAACCTAGGTTTTCCAACATTTGAATAAGCATGGCACTAGAAATGTTTTCTGTTCCCAGGAAAATGCGTATGCAGCCCTACACTTTTGTGTGCATTAGACAAGCCTCTGAAAAAATCTTGTGTGTGCACACACCGCACTCTGCAGATTGACCAGCAGCGACAATCCCCATTTTTATAATTCAATATTTTATGATGATGAAATGGCTTTTGTTTTTTTTGCTTTTAAAACAACCTTTCTTTCAAATAGATGCAATTTTGAATTGTGCAAATTTCAGACATGCCAACAACAGCCCTTTAGACAGAGTTATATGTCTGGAGGCCAGTATGCCCGATCTCACACAAGCACAATCATTTCAGTTTGTTTCACATTCAAACCTTCTTTTAAGGGACAAATATCTATCATATGACCTATCAGCAGATGTTTTCTATAATACTGCTATTGTGTTATGTATTATGTGCGGTATGTGATTTCAACTTTTGGCATGCAGTCCTACACTGACTTGTGCATGCATCTGTCATACTCTGCAGACTGTTGAGTGCATTGCAATAGTTGAGAGAAATCAGGAAAACTGAAGAATTTGTAAGTTAACTACTTGGATTTACCTAATTGAAGTGTGATTGCAATATACCTATCTTAAAAAGGCAACAGAGAACCAATTATGGATCCCCTGAAAACATAAAACACACAGCAAGATAATTTTTGACATTTGTCCAACACAATACCAGCAAACAACAACACAGAAATTGAACATCTCATATCTATAAGCATTGAGTGACTTTCTTTTGCATCGTCTCATGGAATGTTAGAAATTACAAATTTGGTCATCACATAATTCTTTATCAAGAGTGTCATAGGGCACATCTCTAACCAGCGTGCCCTTAAAGTTATGGTGCTCCATAAAACAAGCTCCTAAGAAACTTGAGGAACTCTATTTCACACCTGTAAATAAATTGCCTCGATAGGAACTTTGGAAGGAGTGTAAAATAATGCAAAAATAGCAGCAAAAGTAGCAGTTGGCTCCTTTTTAGCATCAATATTGGGGATTGTGCTCTCATAGCACCACACTCCTGGGCCTTGGGTATTCATTTGTATGGAGCATCATGTGAACAAGTCACAGGCAAAATCTACTTCACACACAAGTTTTCAAAGATTTGAGTTTTCTTCCAGTGAAAATGAGTCAAACATTTTATGTCTCAACAAAAACGCTGATTTTTAAAATATCTTATCATTTTCATAGGATTCAACTCTCAATTCTTTTCTATATGTTTGTATTTTTGATGCCTGAAAAATGTAGTTTTGTAAACTTGGCCTTGAAAGTAGCCGGGTATAAAATGGAGTAAAAACTGTCATCTAAAGATTAATGGTATAAGCTCTTGTACAAATCTTGTAAATTATAACATTGCACTCATTTGTGACCATGGTTTGTATTTTGATCATTGTTATTTTAGAACAATATTTTTCTTTGTGGCAGTGTTATTTTACATTTCAGGTGCTTATTAGATCAACCTCCATGGTTATTTTAAGCTGCGCTTTAGGTGCTCATAAGTGTATTTCTCGGCAAGGCCTGCTTTGACCAGTGTGCTATGTCTGTTAAATGTGATATAATCAGACCTTGCTCTAAAAGAATGATAGTACTCCATAAAATGGGCTCCTATAAAGCTCAAGGCAATCTATTTCATACTTCTAAATAAAGATTTCTTGAGTGCATACTTGGGGAAGATTATGAAATATGAAATCCATAACCTGAAAGATTATGAAATAGAAAAATCAACTTGCAAAAGATGTGCATATTTTCCAAAATATCTGATTTTTGAATCAATTAATTAATCAATTATCAATTTATTATTCTATTATCAATAACACAAAGATGCAAAAACTAATATCTTTTTTAACGAATACAGTCCTCAAATAAGCCCCTTCCTTCGAAAAAGCCCCTCTCTCGAATAATTCCTTAGCCTTAAGGTATTTTTTTTGTGAAATATGCCTCAAACCCACAAATATGCCTCAATGGGCTAAGGTATTGCCTCAACAGCAAAAGGTTCTGGTGGCTTTTTTGACAACTTACGATAGTTTTCTTCTCTTTTTCATGGCTGCAAACAAGCATGCTTTCCACTGATATTTGGACAGGATTCTATGGTCCAAAAGAAATATCCTGAATACACCATAAAATTAATTGTATAAAAGCAAAATTGTTAATAATGAAATATGGAGAGCTAAGAAGACTATCATCAGTCCATCATCGGTACATGACTTTTAGAGAGTCCTAAAATTTTCCGACAAGCCTTGAGAATTTTCGACAAACAGCTTTGCCTCAAAGCCCCCAAATTGGCATTGGCTCTGTTGCTCTTGCTGCCTTTTTAAGCTGTGTTTTGGTGCCCATGCTCAATGGAGTGCATTTCTGAGCAAGGCGCTATATATTTTGAACTCTTCTACTTAACTTAGTTTTTAAAGTAAAAGCGAATGGATTTGTTTTGTGCAGACTGAATTTTTCTGAAATGCATGCATTTTCAAAAGTGTATGCATTTTCATGAAGTGTATGCATTTTCAACATGAGGTTGAATGGGAGCATTTAGGAGCAATCTGCAAAGGTGCTTCTCAAAATAGTTTGGCTTCCTGTTTATTTTTCTAAGCAGCTAAGTTGCCATCAAGTCTTCAGAGAGATTTCAGTCTAGTACATGCCCCAGATATGTGACCATTGATTGTTATTCACGTTAATTTTTCCCTTCCTGATGTCTAACGTTTTCAGGTTCTTGTATTTTTTGACAAATACCTGCTTTGACCAAAGAGAATGGACTTAGTTTTGCCTCTTCAAAATAAATGCTTAGTTTGTTTTCTATGAGCCAATCACAGAAGGAGTTTGAATTTCTATTCAAGTTGTTCTTTGTCCCTGTTTGTGTCTCAAAAATTAGGCAAGAAGCATTGAATCCTTGAGTAATGAATTGACACTAACTGAACATCGTTCCTTTTGCCCTGTAGACAAAATAATTGGGTACCGGATTGGTAGCCACTTTCCAAACTTGCAGATATTCTTTAAAAACCCAATGTAATGATGTCAATCCAAGCTTTGCACTCCATCACATTATTTGAATATAACAGTTGACCATCAGATATGTTTTTCAATCATAAATTTTTTTGCCCACTTGGTGGCCACATTTCGGTGCTTTCCTCCTCGTCTTAAATCCAAGTAATAATAAAAAGCGTTATCCCAAATGTAGTCCAAGAAAGACGTTATCTCATTACTTCTGACATATTTAAGCAGGTAATTGCTATCCCTTAAACCTCCTATTGGCCATTTTATTACTTCGTGTAAGACACCACCAGTGGCGAAAATTATGAAGAAAAGTCATAATGATTTTCCGAGAAGATCACAGTTGGTTTGTTAGTTTCTCCTGAACTGATTGGTTTCTATTTAGGGTATTGAAATTTTGATGAGGATATTCAATGGTCTATCAATTTTCATCTTTATCCAGGACAACATCGCAGTCAAGGCTTGATTGGCCGAGAGACCTCTATCCAAGACTGTATCAAATCTGAATTTAAGGTATGTAAATACCACGTTTTGATGACTATTTTATTATTATGAAGAGCCCCAATGAGCAGAGATATCAATTAGCTAAATCAGCCAAATGGTTGTGTAAGGGCATCTTCCCCCTTTTCCCTGAAGATCGTACTGTGGCGCGAATGTAGGTTGAATAGCAATGTACAAGGGTTAGCTTGGCAAATATCATGCAAAGATTCATTTTCTAGATGCGTGTAATTTTTTGATAGTGTGGTAAACATGTTAAAATGGTCAAAATTGGTCTAGATTTAGTTGTGTTTCGTTTTTGTTCTTAGAATTCTTTGTGCTGATTGGCCCATGCTGTCCATGGAAATTGAAGTTGCGAGATCTCTCGATCAAACAATATGTGCAATCTAGTACCTGGCTTTTTGATGCAGTTTCATACCCTATTGCAGTATATGAAGACACTATTGATCTGATTGAAAATTGATTCATCCCAGTGAGAGTAAAATAAAAATGCCTTTAAAAAGAAACCATCCAAATGCTTATTCAATATTTTCTATAAGCTTTTTCAATCTGCATTTGGATATGTGATTTTTTGGCATCGTTGTATACTCTAATGACTTTGGGAGAAAAAGAGCCTTCAGTTCAATATCCAAGCAAGTTTTTACACTTTGTAATGCGACCCTGAGATTTTGAGTGTGCAAGGATGTTCAGATAAGGTTTTCGACTCAAAAGGCTATGTACTGTGCTTTGGCAATTTTTATAGGCGTTACACCATTGATTTAACTTCATATGTCAACATTTGTGATAGCCACCCTCTTACGTACTGCATTTATTCAGCCATAATCATAATCAGCCACATTAAATCTTCAGCCAAAATTAGGGGTTTGTTCACATGTAATTTGATAAGTAAGAGGTTCTGTCAACCTGATTTTAACGCATGCGGACTGCCACATCATGCCATGCATGGAAATGTGTTGTAGGCCACCAAGGGCTGTTTTTTTCTGGGTTATCAAAGCAAAGGAAATCCAGAAAATCGTTTCTGATGCTTCGGTATTCACAGCTGATAGAAATCATGAATATATCATTGATTTCGTATCAAATTGAAGAATATTACCTGTCTTCACTGCTTGACAAAAGGACCGCACACAATTCTTACTTACGGGAAATAATTTCTAATAGGTGAATAAGTATAGGTTAGGTCACAACTCATTATAGGTCTTAATTCGCATGAATAATATCGAGTTTTTCCAAGTGTCGAGGGTAGATTAAAACACGATATTGTGATATGTGTAAGTTTAATTTATATCTCAGTCTTTGTGACCCAGAATTTTTGCAATTACGCTAGCAAGTAAGGCTTATCATTTTCCTGCCATGTCAATAGTGACGAAGTTTACTACTATATTTTGAGGTTAAAATCTTCAATTGTACAAACTATTCTTTAAGTTGAATCTGGCATATCTGTTTGACATACATTTATGAGATTTAGAGGTAATCTACTTGAACCTACTTGGATTCAGCTATTATAAGGGCTGGTCACAAACCATTGCCGGACAAAAGATGGCTGGAACTCTTGCAATTTCGCCATAGATTTTTCAATCGAAGTAATGAAGACAAGCGCTGAAAGAATTTGAAACTTGATGTGGCATCAAAATTTGATACGATTTTGTTAAATTCTTAATGGTCATGTCAAGGATTTTGTTTACTGATTGCAAGAAGGAGACTTGGTTTGATAAAATGAGGAAATTGCAGGCTAGATTGTAAAGCTTTAAGAAAGCACGAAACTACAGGGTACGTAGTAGGGAAAAGAATTAAAGACGTCAAGGAGAGAAACAAAGAATGGCCAGAGAAAACAGTGATGTGAAAGGAATGCCGAATATTGGAAAAATATTTCAAGATATCTGTCCAGACTAAGAGTTGCTCAAATTGGTTAAGCGATAGACGAGATTTAAAGGTTTTTGTCATGTAGCTAGTTCCTATTTGTCTATGTGTAAGTATATGGTGTAAAAATTCCAGGTTTTTCAAATATTCTAACTTCCTTTTGAGCCTGTTGAAAAGCATTGGTAAGCAATTGATCGTTCCGTTATTAGAATCATATCGTTCCATTGAATAATGCACGAACACGTGCCTTAAGTGGCCCCGGATCCGAACCATTAACAACCGATTTGTCACTGATGGAACCCAAAGCCGCGGCCTAGATTTGTTCCATGCACCAAAGCGTGATTCAGTGTTCTGTGATAAAATGTGGTTCTAAGGTAATCAGGCGGCAGACTTTTGTTGAGCCAATGGCATTGCCGCTTCCTAAGAGAATATGCGATCCATCCCGTTTAATAAGCTTCCTTTGCCACCTTGAATTACACATCAAATCGCAAGGTATTTAATGGAGAACCGTCAATAACCTGTTACTAACCACCGCGCTAGCTCAATTATGAATATGGTTTCTCAGCTTTTCTTCTTTTTCGTCATAGGTATCAATGTCGCACTGATATGAGGTAGCAATCGCTTGCTTGACCCGCTTAAACCAAAGAATCACGTCTAAGGAAACGCCAATGTAAGTCACTCTATCATACCGTCGCCCAGCCCAAAAAGAACTTGATGTTTTATTATCGCTCAACTCAAATCGATCAAATGACACTACGTTAAGGCTTCGTTAAGAGGTAGCTCGGGTCTTTTTAGCCTTGATTCAAATATAACAATCAGAAATAAGCAGTTGTTATTATTTGCGATTGGCATCCTTTACTCATCTCATGCTGCACACCTTCTCCACTGTGCCTGTGTAATGCCTCCCACCAACCAATTTCAATTGATTTTCCTGCAACAAAGCAAGCATTGTCGCTAGCAATCTTAATATCCTATTTCATTTTAGCCTTGTTTCTTTGAATTTTTGTGGTTGAGTCAACATATGTAGGGCATACAACTGCGACATCTTTCATGGTTAGGTGCGTGCATTCACTCACAAAATGCTCTTGTATCAGGGGCCAAAGGCCACGGTAGCTGTTAAGAATCGAAATTTATCAGTTAATAACAGCATACAGACAAAGATCTTACCAAACTTTCTCCAAGGACTTTCAATGCAATGCATGATTTCAGGAAAATTTTCATCTTCCCTCCAAACAATAAACTAAACTTTTAACACATTTCTTGAAGCAAAAAAAAAGGTGTGGTAATTTCATTTGGCCATAGATCATTTGCCGTAAAACCTCTGGCCGTGCGACCATTGTCCGTGCGACCGTTGTCCGTGCGACCTGTGTCAATACAATCCCCGATTTTTCTTGCACCATATATTCTATGCTGCAGTTAAAGAGAAAACAAGAGAACTTTTATGCATGGTTGGTAAGATACTTTTCTTCAAATCTGAATTCACATATAGAATAAATGAAGGTACTGACCCAAGATTATGCTGCATTGTGATTATTTTTTATTCAATCACTAAATGAGCACAATGATTTAAGCATTGGATGAAATAAAAACCATATTAACAGGGACAGATTTTAGAGGGACATGGATTGGGGGTGTTAGATAAAAATTTTGTTTTTCATACCACATTTTTAAGGTGCCCAAAAAACGATGGAATTGCCGATTTTCGCTACTACGTTTTAAACTGTAATATAAAGAAGATGAGAACAGAATAAATTAAAATCTTGGCGTCCTTGAACTACTACTGACTACCAACAAAATCTTTTTACCGAATCTAATAAAATTGACTGAATGAGACAAAAGTATTAGGGGTATCGCACCCCCACTGCCCCATTTAGTCCGTCCCTGAACTGTGCATGGTATTTAGAGCCACCTTTTCCATTCAACTTCTATTATAAGACTGAAAGGCAAAACCACAAGTTCTTTTAAACGCAGGTGTTCACAGGCGAAACAGGAGTTGCGTAACTTCTGCTACTTTGCGCGTGTTTCCTGTCAAATCGCTTCAATTTATATGGTTCTTTTAAACATTTAAATGGCAAGGTGGAACAATGATAAAGCACACAAGATCCTGTGCTTGCGTAGCAGAAAAGTGGCTTGCTTGGCGCCGCGAGTTAAGACAAAGACGACTGTCTTTTAACTCCTGATTTGATTTGCGCCCATAAAGGGGTATAATGATGTAAGAACAGCAAGAGGTTTTCACAACATGGCGCGCTTTTTGTCCTTTTTCAACATGTCAAGTCCTTTAACGAGCTTGCAGTACTTAACAGTCGGTTAAAACATGAAGGCTAGCAAACCGAGGTTACCTCCCAAACCTCTTCTTCGCTTTAGAGATGCAAATCAAGGAAGGTTTTTGATTTTTAAAAGCAATGATTTCTTTAAGGGGTGGTACTAAGCAAACTGAATGTGTGAGTTATGCTCGAATATTCCCCGCCCTAAAAATCTCTTTTATACTCTTGATTTAGCAGGATTTAAAGCCTTTGCAGTTTTTATCTCCTATCTGCTGAAATAGAACTCCTCAAACGAGGTCAGGTCCTGTATAATGTATAAACTAAATAAGTGCAATTGATATACTTAAATGTTATTTCGAAAATATTTCACTCAAAAGCGCTACACAAACTTTTCATATTTCGAAAGGTTATTTCTCACGACATAAATTGCAAAGTTGAACTTGATATTAGATTCTGGACGTGATCAAACATTGAAAATAAAAGCGAGAGTTTTAAGCACGAGAAGGCAATATACTTTTTTTCCTATTCAAGAAGTACACTTTTATATCAAGACGACTCACGTGAACTGAATGGCTAGAAAAGTCTTCCTTGACGTCGGCAATACGACGCAGTACAATCCAAGGCATGTTCGCAGCTCTTACAATTGTCATGCCAAGAAATGATACCGAATCACCAACAATCAATGATTTTTTTTCAAATAACAGCTTTTGGAAAGTGATGATTCCTAAATATTATGTAGAGTTTCGACTTTTTGTTGTTTGCAATTTGAATTTCCGTGAAAGCAATCAAACAAAAAAGACTACAATCGGACGTCTGTAGCCGTAATTTTTGTTTTTGGGCGTAACTTTGGTTTTGGGACGTAGCTAGATAATAATTTTGCAATTGGTTTTAGAAAACATAAGAAGATATTGCAAATAGTTTTTTCTAAAAAAATTCGAGCCATTCCTATCTTTGTTACAGTATGGCTTCTATACTTAGTTTTACCTGAAGTCGCTGTGTTAAGAACGTGAACACCGACCCAATAGATCTTGTTACTTCAAAAGAAGGAGTAAACCGTTGCATCTTCCCATAATGTCCAAAGAGCATCTCTTGTATGAATTACTACAGATAGATCTCACATTTTCTATTTGTAGGGCTTGCAAGAAAGAAGTGATACCCTAAGAAAACATAAAATCTGGTGCCCTAAGAACTGGTACAATCTGGAACATTATCTAGAAAGGTATGTTGAGATCATCTGCTTTGTTGTATAACTTAAAAATATTCGCATTGTAACAAGATTTTTAAGGGTATTTCTTGTGCTCTCTGTGAATTATGTATTCAAATCGGGTGCGAATCCAGTAAAATATTCAACGTATGCTTGGGTAGGGAGAAATGCGACCTTGGGGCAGTTCCCCGGAGAGAGAACTGTGTGCTCATCAGTCATCATTTAAGTATTAAAGCCATATGATTCCAGAATAATCCAATATAGTCATTTAAGAGAAGGAGCCAGTAGCATTTTTAATTTTAGTTGAAAGGTTATGGCCAATCTTGGAAACATCCAGGGGAATGGCCTCTTAGTGAGCAAATTTGACTTGACCTACATCTTGTTGAGCTTTTGTCGTCAGCTCCTTCCTTGTTCCCTCTTTCATGCCCATTGTTGTGTTGTATGTCAGTTCCCACTCTATGCTGGATGGACAGCGGGAGCGTCCAAAGCATGGATGGCCACCACCTCTTCAGACACGTTCTCTCAGCCCATTGTCCTGCGCATACATAGCAGTTTAACTTAGGTGTATTTGATTCAAATTATATCTATTTGTTGGCAGACAAAGACCTCATGCTCAACATATACGTCACTGCATGCTAGCAGTTGTTTATTCATTCCTTCTACGTTTTATAACCCTGCCCATTTTCTTTTCTCACGTCTTCATCAACACATTTGAGCCCATTTAACGGTTTTTAATGCTTTGGCGCACCTATTTCACCTTTAAACTAAGTGGTCAAAAGTAAAGTTTGTTATTCGCAAATCAGTTTCAAATAACATGTAAACGATGCAAGCACCAAACCCTGCACAACATTTTCTCCCCAAACAACAGATCCTTTTTCTAAAACATCATTATCGTCTCGTGGGAAGCGATCGAATTTGTAAGATAGTCTTTTTTTCATTCATTACTGTTCTGACTTCCTTTTTTAAGTTACAAAAGGATTCTTTTAGTAGGCTACTACAATGGCGGCACGATGATAGTTGAGGGCAATTTTCCCCTCACTTTTATCGAAACATGATCTTCTTCATTCTTTTAATGATAACTAAAAATATTTTGAAAGGAATATCTCTTATTTTTTAATTTTCGTCATTTCTTACAAAAAAAATCATTTTCAAAAATGTTTGTGAAAGTTATAAAGAAACAGTTGCTGTCCCGGCTCATTAAGTCTCTTTAGACTGTCACTGCAGCTCATAGAGAAATGTATAGCCCACAGCATGTTCTGATAAGACTAATCTGAAGACCTCCGATGAGTAAATTGGATATGACTATATCTTGGGTGCAGTTTTAACAGACTTGTCCTAAGCATTTGATTGCAAATCTGGTGATTTGTTAACTGCAAGCTCTCTGCGTATGTTTTTGATCAAAATACTTCAGTCACGGGTGTCTCTCAAGGCTCAAAATTTGGTCCAACTTTCTTCATTTTGATAAAAATGAAGAAACAAGTAAAGGTCTACATTTATTCGCGTTACAAATTACCAGACCTTATAAGGATCTTAGAAAAAATGATAAATGTCTCTTTCGACTTGATTTGTAAAATGGTATTTATTTTGACAGAGTTATTAGTCTTATACAGCGATACAATCTGTTTTTCTTCTTTCCTGCATCTTCATATTCTTTGCATGCTTAAATACGACTAATTAATGCATGACATTGACGAAACTTCGACGTAACCTTGACGTAACCTTGACGTAATCTTGACGTAACAAGCGCTATCCAAGATACAACTGACTAGATAGATCTCCTACATCTCTAAGATCTTAATACAATTAAATAAGGACTTTGTACGTTTGAAAAAAATAAGTTCTGATATTTCTTTCAAATTTACAAAGTCATTTTCAATTGGTAAAATTTTTTTCCGTTATTCATCGACGTACAACACGCTGAACTACATTGATAATTAATCTCTAAGATTCGTCTGAATAAATAACATAATGGCCGAGGCGACTGACCTTTCACAAGCATCTTGCCACTAAAGCAATGCATGCCTAACTCAACTTGCTGCTCCTTGTCAATTGCCTTTCTCCTAGAGCATTTACTTACCTGGAGAGGTTGGTTTCAAATTCTTTAAACACCAATCCCTTCATTTCACAAACTTAATACTGAATAAGGAAATAAATATTGTAATTACATGACTATATTGCACTCATTTTTTTAAGAAACATAAGTTGACGTTGAGCACTCCAGTTTCTTGACCCCTTTGAAATTTCAATACATTGTTTCTTAAGAGTTTATGATAATAATAATAATAATGATAATAAATAATAAATAAATGAGAACAATATTTAGACAGGATAACCACTTCAACAGACGGAGTGCTGTTATCAACGAGGGCCTTTCTTATTTTTTATGTCATTAATATGACATTCGGGTCCTATCATTAATTTTCCAATGCTAGGAAATCTCCTGGCAGAAACTTGCAGCTGAAAACAAAGACAATTGTCGATATTTCTGTTGTTTTCAAATGCCCGTTACATTTTTGGGAAAAGATTCGCTTCCGTTCTAATGTTGTATTAAGAAAATGGAATTATATTTTCATTCTTTTTGTGCATATTTTATGCCAACCAGCCAATCATTTTGTTGGATTTCAATAGATTACTAAATTTTCCCTTCTTTTCTAAATTAAATTGTTTCTTTTTCGCTTCAAGTATTGAAATTTGTCAGTTTTTGTGATTGCCCATCACTCGTTTCTGCAAATTTCTTATAAAAAAGTAAGTCTATATAGAGTTAAATGAAACAAGGATCTTAGCCAATCTTGCATTGTCTTATTCGATTCCTCTTTTAAGATAACCTTTTATAGCTTTTTGCATACACTAAATCTAGATTCTCTCTTTGGAACTATATTTTTGACTTGCTCTCTGTGGCACACCTTTTCAAATAAAACTGTTTCAAAGCATTACCGCAACTTGACATGGTTTGTTGGATCTTTCTCCACAAATAGTAACTTTTTTATCACTTGATATGCGGTGGAAATAGTCCTCTTTCTAGCTTGAGGTTAACTCAATAATGTACTTGTTAGCGCATTTAATCACTTTTACTGTCAAATCGGGCCGCATCGTCCCCACTACTTTTCTACATTTCTTACACTTTTATCAAACACCATTTACCTTTAATGCTTGTCGTTTTCAGTCATTTGGTTACTTCGTTTTATAACAATTCGAGGAATTATCGAAAAAAGAAGCAATGTAACCAGTGCATGCTTCTGCTTGCTATCTTTGCAAACTCGAATGCCGAAAGCCTGAAATAGAGCTTCCCAAACGACTATTTTTATTGAATCTAAAGGTTCCCAAGCCACACTCCTACGTCAATCTACTTCTACATGGAAGCTGATAACCTAAAGGTTTTATGTGTCTTGGATAACCGTTTTTATATTGGCGCCCAGAATTCACCTTTATTTGTTCTGAACTTTCAAACATGATCTAACCACCAGTATGAAATTCGTCTGTATAAAACAATAATCTATTGTTTCTATAGCCAACCACAAGCGCGTTAGGCAGATTTATTTATTCTCCGAACAAGCTGGCGAATTTTAGAGGCAAAAGCTATTGTATCCCTTATTGGTTTGTCTATACTTTATACTGCGAGGTGACCAATGTAGAAGGGGGTAACCCGTGCAGAATGTGTGCACGGGTGCTGGCGACTAGACTCACTTGGCAAGAGCAGCTCAAAAAGTGCTCTTTTACGCCCCTTTTCTTCTCACTTTTTTAAAGAGCAGTCTCCAATTTCTACCCCCATCGAAAAGGCCAACAGATATAGATTTTTGTGCTGCTTTAAACTTAGGGATTAGACAAGAGTGCATTCTAGCTCAATGGTCAACTTGCCATTTCTATCCGTAAATGGTAATTAGAACGGTAAAATGTAAGTAGAACCGTGTTAATGGTACATTCAAAGAGAGAGTAAATAGCAGAGTCAGGAAAACATTACGGTCTCACGGCCACTGACCGGAGGAAGGTCCACGAAAAACAATAGAAGCTCATATGACACACCCAAGCCACACCTATTTTATATTGTTTTGCGAGCACGGTTTGCCTTCTGAGATGTTTTTGTCTGGAGGAAGGTCAACAACTTTTCTGGACTCTGGTAAATAGATGATACTTTCTAGCGTTTAGACTTGCATTTAATACCTGTATTTAAGACTATGGCATCGTCAATGAGTTAGGCAAATCGACTGGTGTTATCTTTCCTGTGACCAGTCACATTTTAATCTTAGAACAGGAAACATTGTAATGCTCTCTCTATCTGTTGTCTCAAGTCACCACGTGCCTTAGATAATCAGTCATTCATTGATTTTTTGTTCTTCTCCATGGTTCCTATGGATTAGTACTGACATTAAGGTAGATTTAAATGCTAAATGTTTATACCCTTGCTATCCTGAATGTCATGGAACAGTTGTTGCCGGATTAAGACCAAGCCCCTGTGTCTACGTTCATGCCAACTTCGGCTATAGTTTCATTCATCCTGGCGCCTTTCTAAGCAAATGGAGCCTTTGTACTGCATTTTCGATACACAAGTGCTTATAATTCAGTTCATTGATCACTTATTCACCAATTAATGTTTATCTCACAAAACGGACGGTTGTCTGCCGAATTGATTGAAATAATACCCATGCCTCGAAATGGCTATTGGAAGAGAGGCCTTTTTATTCTACCTAATCCTTTTGGAATCTCTTCCATGGCAACTTTTGGTCGCATCATTTTGCTTCTGTCTTTACTTTTCTCAAAAGAGTTGATCTGTTATCAAAATTATCAGGGCATGCACGTTTAAACTCCCAGTAAATACAGTATGAATCGTAATCAAGTATTTGGATTGAATGTTACTTTTGCTCGAGTTGTGATTATACTCAAGGCATTTTTCTCATATATTTTATTTAAAGTTCAAAATCAGTTATCTTCTACATAAGCAGCATGTAGATGGTAACACATCTTAACGATCTCATTTGTAATCTTATTTTAAATCGAATATAATTTTAAGCTACAATACCGTAACTTGTCTTATTCGATTATTTACAAAATATACAAATTAAATTAACAGTTTTTAAACACTACGTCACATTCTTGTACAACCCTACAGTTGTCTCTTGTTCCATGAGAGCCAATATTCGTCCATTTAGACAAGGTTTCTTCAGTTATTGCATTGGCTAAAACATTCGAAGACTCTATTATTTTTGAAAATATTAAGTCTTTCGCCATGGTTTGGGCTATTTTTCCCCCTCCTATGAATCCAAACATAGTTGCTGGCCAAAAGTCTTAGCTTTTGCTTGTATAGGTCTACCTTTTCTATAAAAGAACTAAAAACTTATAACCAGATCTTGGTAACGTTTTGGATAAAGGCATTGTTTGAGAGATTTCTGAGGAGATTCAAATGTCGATATAGTATTGTGTGGGTAGCAACAACTAACTAGTACCAGTGTTGCTGTCTTTTGTAGAGAGGTGTCCGGTACCTGGAGGCCTCCTCTACAACGCTGCTTTGACTGCATAGCAAGTTTGGGAAATTACGGTTTGTATGTTGGCGATTAAGGATTTTTAGGAGTTTTACGCTGTATGAAAGTATCCGATTAGGAGTTTTACGCTGTAAAAATGTATTGGCTTTAAAAAGGTGTCCGCTGTAAGTAAAGTGCGCTCTGGATAGGTGTCCGCAGTAGGTAGGTGTACGATTTAAGAAGGTGTCCTTTTTGAGAAGGTGTTTGATGTAGAAAGGCGTTCACGTTGGGGTTTTCAATAAGAGAAGGTGTCCGATGAAAGAAGGTATTAGTTTTGAGGAACTTTCCGATGTAAGGAGGTTTTCCCTGTTCAATCAAAAGATCTGTTGGTTGTCTGCTTTAAAAGGTGTCCGCTTTAAAAAATGTTTAATTTAAGAAAATTTCCACAAATAGATCTCTAACTTTGTTTTTTTCTTGGTTTTTCCACTCTTCTTGAGAGATGTTTTTCTTCGTTGTCTCAAAAGACGAGGTTTTGTTGACAACCATTGGCGCTTGAAAGCTTGAATACTCATCCTTTGCATTGGTGTATTGTTTTAGAAAGTATTTGATTCCATCTGTGCTCTGTCCTATCTTGTTACAAGTAAATAGAAAAGAGGATGCAGAGTGGCTCTTTGTATACAACCTCTATATTTATGTGGAGGTCTATCCGATTGATTTTCGTATCATTTCCCTTTATTTTCTCATTACAATAAGAAAATCCGCAGTTGATTTGAGAAGTTTTCTGGCAATATTTTATCTACATTTATAAGTTTATTAAGACTCGCGAGAATAAACCTATGTATACTTTAAGTTCTACTGGGCCACAGGTCTATGCTTCGCAATCATTGTTATGAAACGAATACATATGCTGTAAACTGCATACAAACGCAAGGGGTGGCATGAACGGAAGGTTTAGATGTACTAAGCGACAAAGTTATAAGATTGCCAAGCCGCTTTGCTATACACAATGCATCAGGAATAATTCAAGACTTCTGGCTCCTTTTTTTACTTTTAACAGCCTTATAGTTAAGCAAACCTATTAGAAAACACGAGTGTGGCCTTGCATACTTTAAGCAGTGCATCATTACAAGATTCTCGTTTCAAAAATGATTTTTTATTGAGAAGGAAATCCTTTTACTTTCCATTAATTCTTCAAACCAAAATTTGATACGCTGATGTCTACATACCGACTCCCTATCTTCTAAAATCAATTTTGTCTTACAATGTACGCGTCTGAGTAGAATTTGAATAAATCCATTCAAAAAAACAAATATTGCTACTAGCTTGCGAAATCGGTTTAAGTAAATGCCTTTTTCAAAGCAAATCCAGAATTTTTCGTGTATTTCACATCTGTTCTTGTCAGTCAAGTAGTCTGATATTGAATGCGACGGTGTCCTTTCCTGCTCTTCCGCTCGATTCATGCAAACGAATTGTTTCTTAAAAAACGATTTTTCATAAATCAGTGGCTTTAGATGTCTAAAGTGAAACGATATAAAAATTTTGTCATATAAATTCTACACCATGAAGTTTTTTATCCTTCAAATGAGAAAAATTGTCATCCTAAATCCCATTACTCTATAAAGTAAACAATGTAAATCTAAGACTAAATTTTCTTTCATCAATTATGAATTCGGATCAAGTGAATTGGTGGATAATGAATTGTACAATGTATTAAAATACGACCGAACATTAGACAGTCTACAAATCTTTGCCATTAATTGTTTACGTGATGTTTCTTGGAAATCCTTGCAGCAATAATTGGCCAAAGTGAGTCATTTCAAAGGCTTCCTATTAAATGCATAACCTCAAGACCGTTTACGAGCTTGATTGCTGTTACTGGATTATCTAGAATGCTCAGGTCTTGGGATGGTTTGTACGTGGGATGCCTTTTATTTTCTTTGTATCTCAGAACTGATAATCAGAATTTTACGGTACTCTTGAATTAGGTGCCAGGATGGCACAGTGGTTAGGGTCACCGACTACAGATCCAATGACCGTGGTTTGAGTTACTGGCATGACCAAACTTTGACCCAGAGTAAGGGGAGTCGCTGGCACCTTCCAATTCCAGGTGAAGGAATCACGAGGTGTGGTCACATCGAGAGGAAGGACCAGGACACTGCTCCATATGAATAGGCTTCTCAGTGTCCTAAAACTACCTACGGTTGCTAGGTAGAGAAAAATAAAATTGAGAACGGTTTCGATTTCACAAATTGTCTTGGCATACATTCTAAGCCTGATAAAGCAAGTAATACTGTACGATAGCTAGTGAAACTGTTTGCAGATTCGCCTAGCAGTTCTCAGTTTGGTTTAAACACGCTTTCAGTATAAATGGAAAGGTAAATTTGAGTCCCATACACGATCAGTACGTAATGGGAGTGTCTGTAAAAGAAGACAGTTGTACCGGGCTAACAGAATGCTGAGTTAGATTGACCAGCGCATCATCCTGGCTATAAAGAAGTTCTTTTTTTGCAGAAAACTTAGAAATGAAAATCCACAGATCCAGAAAATAATCCAACATAAAAAGGGAGCAATTTTTAGGAAAATCAAGTTTAGAGCGCTTGTTAGATGAATTAAAAAGCAACTTAGGGAATGGTCATAAGACCCAGGCACTGCGCAGCCATTGGGCTAGCAGGGGCTAAAGTCCCTCCACCTTTTTGCAATAACAGGTTAGAAAACTTTTTAGTAAGTTTACTCTAACTATGCTCTAACGCAACATTGAATCGTATACTCCTAAGGAGTGGCAGTTTTTCTTGACTGGGAACCTTTTTTGTTCATTTTCTAGGTGTTTTTCTTGCCGTACTTTAAAGCTGAACATAAAAGTGCGCATATTTTTCAATTAAGATATATGAAAGTTCTTACGTTAGCCATCAAAGTGGCACACAAATGGAGATACAAAAGAACAAGCCTCTCTGTGTGTCGAAAACCAAGAGAATCAGAATATTGTGCAAGCAAAAACTTTTGCGAGCTTAATCAATATCATTTCATTCAAATCAGGTGAGCTGTATAAGTTCAATAAAATAGGCTTTCAATAATTGAAATCTATCGATAGTGGATGTAAAAGTGCGTGTTCTACCTAATGGTAATTATTATTGTCGCTTCAGTTTAGCATCTCATCCTTTCCTGGTCATAAGAATAATACGATTTACAAGTAGTCCAACCCTTTCTCAATAGATAACCATAGTTATTGATGTCTGAATCAGACGGGTGCAGAGCTGTAAGCCGAACACAGTGATTTGGATCATGATTTGTTCAGCACAGCAAACGTGCAGATTAATAAAGATTTGAAGCTAGATGAAGGAAATGGGCGGGTGCATTAAGCGAACTAATTCAGAAAAGAAAGCGACAGGCTCGAGTTTCAAAATGAGCATAAAGAATAATTGGTAGCCACTGTCCTAGTTTGATTTGTCTAGTTTAAATAATCCAGCAGTTACAAAAATACGCTCATTGGTCAGCTGAAAACTCATTGAAATTTTTTCATAAGACTAAGCTGCCCAACAAAACTATAACCCCCAAATAAGCCAAAAACATTACTATCATACACCGAGAAAAAAAAATCTTCCACAGGTCAGTAAAAAAGCTAGTGAGAAGGCTTCTATGACACGATGGTAGACAGTTTACAAAGTTCTTTTGCAACACTTTCAGGTGTTATAGGGCATGGTAAAATACCTAGCTGCCATTCTATTTAAATCGATACCATAGTTTTGAAATAATGTTAGCAAATTACTTTGGGTAGATGGATGGATGGATGGATGGATGGATGGATGGGTGGATGGATGGATGGGTGGGTGGATGGATGGATGGATGGATGGATAGGTGGATGGATGGATGGATGGATGGATGGGTGGGTGGGTGGGTGTGGATGGATGGATGGATGGATGGGTGATGGGTGGATGGATGGATGGATGGATGGATGGATGTGATGTGAATGGATGATTGGATGGATGATGCGATGATGGATGATGGGTGGATTGGCTGGATGGATGATGGATGTGCATGGTGGATGGGTGGGTGGGTGGGTGGATGGGTGGATGGATGGATAGATGGATGGATGAATGGGTGGATGGATGGATAGATGGATGGATGGATGGATGGATGGATGGATGGATGGATGGATGGATGGATGGATGGATGGATGGATGGATGGATGGATATATGGATGGATGAATGGGTGGATGGATGGATGGATAGATGGATGGTTGGATGGATGGATGGATGGATGGATGGGTGGGTGTGTGGGTGGATGGATGGATGGATGGATGGATGGGTGGGTGGGTGGATGGATGGATGGATGGATGGATGGATGGATGGGTGGATGGATGGATGGATGGATAGATGGATGGATGCATGGGTGGATGGATGGATAGATGGATGGATGGTTGGATGGATGGATGGATGGATGGATGGATGGGTGGATGGATGGATGGATGGATGGATGGATAGATGGATGGATAGATGGATGGATGGATGGATGGATATATGGATGGATGGATGGGTGGATGGATGGATAGATGGATGGATGGATGGATGGATGGATGGATGGATGGATGGATGGATGGATGG